TTCTACAACATGATCCGTCAGTGGTACGTCCCGAATAAGCATGCGGGGATGCTACCAGAGAAGGCCGAGAAGATGTTAAACTAGGACGCTCGCCAGGTTTGAATCTGGTACGAGCCGAGCGTTCTGGGCTCTGCATTATTGCATACGTGGAAAAAAAGAAGACGGATCGCGAGAGTAAGCAGGATATTGACGTGGAAACAAATATATCTCGTTCGAAGTTAAAACGTGTCGCTTCCGTGTCCCATCTGAAGCGTGTCGATGAGTACTCACGATCGGAAGCGTATCGATGAGTACTCACGATCTGAACCAGCTATGGAGATCGAGCTCGCTTATGGTGAATCTCGCGGATACTGGAAACATTATTCACCCGGGAAGTGGTTCAAACAAGCGAAAGCCGTTGGCAAGATCAACAACGTAAAAGCTACTCTGTTATTTGATTCTGGTGCTGAAGTGTCGATCATTGACACCACCTTTGCTCGTGAGGTCGGTTGCAATATTGACGAAAGTCAACGACAAGAATTTATCGGGATTGGAGAAACTCCGTACATGACGGTAGGACGTACCAAGATCAAGGTGACCCTCGCGGGATCGCTGGTATACTATTTCAATGTATGGGTAGGCGATCTGGCAGGGCAAGAAGCGATTCTGGGTATGGATTTTATGGTGCCTGCTGGAGTGCGGCTCGATCTAGCGGATGGCGCGCTATGTCTACCAGAAGAAATCCGCATTCATCTCGCAGGACGTCGCCCCGCGTACGGATCGAAGATACAACATATAACGGCGAAGGACCAACACGTGGTGATCCCGGTCGGAGAGTCAAGGGAAGTGAAGATCGGGATCGGAGGGGCTAAGATGAAGTTGTGGGTCGCTAGAGGACTAGATTGGGTCCCCACTGTGATCTCGGGGTGGGGTAAGACGAAATACCTGCAGATGACCAACATTGGCGAACGTGAGATCATACTGCCCACCCACACTATATTAGGCATGTGGGTCGAAGGCGATATGGTACCGCGAACTCAAGGTTTGGTGACAGTCGGGTCAGGGAAGTACAAGGAATGGCAAACTCTGGCATATGAGGCTACGACGGATCGAGTGAACGAACTCCCGAAAGAACAGATCGGACCATTGGTAGACCGTCCTACGTATGCCGCTCCCAAACGCATCTTGAAACGTCCGTCTGATGCGTTACAGAACCATTCTCCGGCGATCTCCACGGTAACGCCGCAAGCTAACGATGACGATTCGCAAAAGGCAGATGCTGTAGTTGCGAGGGAAGTAACGGTCAGGGGAGCCGAACTATCGCGGATGGAGAACGGTCATGAGATCGGTACCCAACATGCAACGAAGGGAGACCGCGACACCGGTCAAGAAGGGCTACGTGACAGATCGTCTCTACCGAAGGCTGAGCCGACTGACCGACTGTTGAAATTGGGCCAGCCGGAAGAGACGAAGGAGCCTAAAGAAGAAATAATGCTAAATACTGAAGACGTCGAGATTGCAGAAGTACCAGTTTATCACCACGAGAGCGGAGATTTGTTTGCGGAAGATATCGAGTAGCATATGGCCGTGCTACCAGAGATGTCGGCGACTACGGAAGAAGTTACGATTGAGGACATTCAGATCGGTGATCCCGATGTGCCTCTCACCACAGATCAACAACGGCTCAGATCGCTGATCTGGAAGAGCCGTCACCTCCTCATGGGTAAAGGTAATGCTCTACCACCAGCAGCACGAGGCGCGATCTGTGATATTGATGTCGGTGGGGCAGCACCGATAGCGCAAAGAGTGCGTCCGGTCGCACCCAAATATCGGGAGAAGCTGTCAGATCTCATCAAAGGACTATTATCAGCCAAAATCGTTCAGCCATCCACGTCACCTTGGGCGTCTCCGATAGTGGTGATCATCAAGAAGAACGGAGTGGATATTCGCCTTTGCATTGATTATCGAAGAGTTAACCAGCTGACGCGTCTGATGGTATATCCCATGCCGTTGATCAGCGATCTGTTGGAAGATCTGGATAAAGCTCTATGGTACTGTTCGCTAGACATGGCTAGTGGATTTTGGGTCGTCGAAATGACCGAACGAGCAAAACTGATCTCAGCGTTTGTCACACCGTTTGGCTTGTTCGAGTGGCTGCGAATGCCTTTTGGGCTTAAGAACGCGCCCCAGATCTACCAACGTCTGGTGGACAATGCGTTGTATGGATATCTCAAGATCGGCCAGAGATCAGCTTCTGATGGCCCGATCGACGTGTTCAAAGATGGAGAACCTGAGACAGATCGACGACCGTCTATACTGGGACGCCGATCTTACATTGACGATATTCTCATACCAGCCACGTCATGGGGATCTTTGTACACAAAAGTAGAACGGTTGCTGGAAGCATGTGATAAGTGGAATCTGTCTATCAGCCTCACGAAGAGTTTTTGGGGGTGCCGTAAGGTCGATTATTTGGGACATCGAGTGTCGATGGATGGTCTGGAGGCTCATCCCAATAACCTAGAGTCGTTGGTTAACATCCCGTTTCCTAGCACGCTACGAGCTATGCAATCCTTTCTCGGGAGCTTGAACTACTACCGTCGCTTCATTGAGGATTTCGCGGTGTATGCCGCGGTGTTGTATGAGTTAAGAGAATCGGATTTCTTCGAGATCGGCCGATCTCAGCTTGCAGCAGGAGACGAATGCTCCAACGAGGGTCGATGGACGGAAGCCAAGGTTGCTTTCACTATGCTAAAAGCTAAGATAGCTACAGCTCCCATGCTCAAGCATTTCGACCCAGATCGGTCCCCCGTAATCGTGGTCTACGCTAGCAAGTGGGATGTCTCAGCGGCCCTGATACAGGAGTACGATGGCGTGTACCATCCGGTGACGTTTACTAGCCGCACTTTAAAGCCTAATGAGCTTAACTACGGAATGGTAGAAAAAGAAGTGCTGGCGCTACTTCGTGTGTTGGATGTATGCTATACTACGCTTGCCTCGCGGGAGATCACTGTACTGACCCGACATTCTACGTTAGCCTGGTTGATGCAGTCTCTAGGGCTCAACGGGAGATTAGGACGGTGGGCTGCTTTGTTGTCAAATTGGACTATGGAAGTGAAGAAATGTGAAAGAGGAGAGGAAGAAATCCTGGGCATGTTAGCAGCGAGTATCACTCCGAGAGGAGAGGTGGAAGAGATGCTGATTGCGATCTCCCCACGTAAACACTGTCGACTCAAAATATCGATGCCTCCTCCAACGGTGGAAACAGATGAGGAGTTGCTGGTGGCCAGTTTCGATGGATCGGCTAGGATAAAAAAGAAAGGAGGGTCGTTCAGTGCCGTGATATGGAAGTTACCCGAATGGACGATCGTGGCGGCCGAATCGAGATATGTTCACGATCTGACTGTGAACGAAGCTGAGTATAATGGCTTGCTACTGTGCTTTGAGTTACTCGCCGGTCTGGATAGGGGGCGAGTAATACTGTGTGGAGATTCCAGTCTGGTGATTCGACAGATGCGCGGTGAGATCGACTGCAAGGCACCGGGCCTTCAGCTTCTGAGACACAAAGCGTTGGAGAAGCTGCAGTCATGGCCTAGTCACGAGTTTCTGCATATGAAGCGAGAGTGGAATCAGAGCGCAGATCGACTAGCCAGCACAGCATTGCAGAGCGAAAAGGGAAGAACGGTTGTAGCTGAAGAGGATCGGCAAGATCTGATGACTCTGAACCGTCTCGATGAATTGTTGAAGCCCAAGCAAGATGGTCAGCTAGCTCGGGTAACTGCGATCGCGAGATCAGCCAGGAGGATACGTCATGGACCTGAAGTGATACAGGAGGAGATAGTACAGAGGATCAGGATTCAACGAATTGTCCAAGCTCAAGATGAGGAGCGTTGGATTGTCAATCTCAAGACATATCTAAGTGGCGATGTATCAAACTTGGATGCGGTAGAAGTGAAGACGTGCGCCAAACTGGCGCCGAAATACGAGATCGATGAGAACAATCTGCTATTTTTTTGCCCCATGGCGAAAAGAGAGTCGAAAGATCGCCATGGTTTGATGCGGTTGGTGATCCCTGAGACGTTGCAGCAGGATTTTTTGCATCACTATCACACGAGTCTGGAAGGAGGCCATCAGGGTATTGGCCGAACCTATCAGAGGATCAGATCGCGATTTCATTGGAGAGGACTGTATCGGAGCGTTCAACGATATGTGGGCGAATGTACCGACTGTGAGACCGGGAAAGGAAACCCGATGATTAATGGGAAATCCCCGGGCAATCTACACGCAACCTATCCATTCCAGATCATCGCCATGGATCATATACCGTCGTTGCCCAAGTCCATCAAGGGGAACACCGAACTGCTCATTTGGGTCGACCTTTTCTCGGGATATGTGATTGCAAAGGCTAGCTCCTCTCGGACGGCACAAACAATAGCGGAGAATTACGAAGAATGTGTGTTTCGACGCTTCGGAGCTAGCGAGGCTATCAGGCACGATCGAGAACCGGGATTTATGTCCGACTTCTTTCGAGCCTTCAGTCGGATCGTAGGACAAAAACAGCGTGCTACTATGGCTTACAGGCCACAAGCAAATGGAACAGCCGAACGAATGGTGCAAACCCTGACACATTCGCTCAAGATGTACGTGGCTGAAGTTGACCAGCGAGACTGGGATGAGTATGCTGAGCGGCTCACATTTGCCATTAACACTGCACAAGATCGGATCCGGGGGATACCCCATTTTATCTGATTCATGGGTGGGACCCGCGATCGACTTTGGAGGCTACGCTACCAGTGGGGAATACGGGGACACGAGATCGCGATCCAAAGAGGTGGAGATACAAAATCCAAAGACAATACCTGCGAGCCCGATCTGCAGTGAACGATCGTTTACAAGCCGCGATCCAGGAGCGAGCGGATCGACACAACGAAGATCTGGAACCACACGAGATCGAAGTAGGAGCGCAAGTTTGGCTATACCTGGACCGAGTTAAAGAGGGATATGCGAAGAAGCTAGCGCACATGTGGCATGGGCCATTCCGAGTTGCGGACGTATGTGGAGATCATGCTGTAAAATTGGAGATCGCTGGAACCCCATATCGGTTATTTCCGATTGTACATATATCGAAGCTAAAAAAGGTAAAGACGTTCCCTGAACGCCCGAAGGATCAGCTTACGATAGAGGAATCAGATCGCTTGGATTTCGATGAAGCTCTGCTGCCGGAAGACAGTTGGGATGGCGATCTTGAAGAAGGGGAATACGAAGTGGAGGCAATATTGGACGTGCGATCTGGTAGAAAAACCCGTTATGGGCGAGTACACCGGCAGTTTCTGGTGAAGTGGAAGGGATATCCCGATCTAAGTTGGGTGGACGAGGCCGATCTACGTTGTGGGGCGATCTTGCAAGAGTTTGAGCGGAACCGAGTGAGTCGAAACCGTTTCGACGTAATGCAGTCTCATGAAGGCAAGTCGGACGAACCTTAACAGTTCGAACAAGTATGCGGGAGGTAGCATATGCGGATGTAGGGGTTGAAAGATGTGCTAGACGGTAGCACATGCTGGTGGATGAGGTTTTTGTATGTGAGTATGGAGATAGTCAAGTGAATTACCTTCCTGAATGATGTGGAGCGAGGAGGATCGAGATCGTGGAAGTTGCAAAGAATGGAAGTACCAAAAAAGAAGATGATTGAATGACTTACACGATTATGAAAGACGATCGGGCTTGGATATCGATCTTGGACTAAGACGATGGAGCAGGTTTGAACTTGTCCTGCAGACGAGGGATCTGCGATCCGGGATGATCCCAATAGGCGTTACGGAACTGGTTGCGCCAAGGATCCTCTTGGTCTGCCATGTCCAACGCCTCTAGCAAGTCAGCTGGGTCGTTAGAGTGTCCTAACCCTGGATACCAAACTCGGTCTTCATGTGGGCGCGGATAGTGGAGGAAGAAGGGATCTAGCAAGATGTCGAGATCACAGTGGCCAGCGATCATGCCGCTGAGTATCATCTTCAAGAAGTTCTTCCAACGCGCTCCAAAGCGAGAACGGCGTTGTTTTCGTTGGCGCCAGAATGTCTGCATGAACCGTTCAGATCGCCTTTGAGCCGGAGGAATCGGGAAAGCATGAGTAGATTCCCACAGAGCTTGTCGATGAGTGGACTCAAGCTCCAGGTACCGATGACCCATATCACGATACCATCCAGTCATGGTGAATGATATCGGGTTCACTGGGACTATGATATTATCCCAAGGGGCTAAAGCGTAAAGAGCCTCGATGTGTTGCCGCGAGATCAGCCCAGAAGCCCAAGTCCCCGTAGGCGGAGCTCGTCCATGATTGTAGAAGGGAAACAGAAAATTCCTGGGTTTGGAGTAGTGGTGAAACAACAGCTCAATGGTCATGGTCCTCACGCAAACCATCGCGATCCGCGAAACGGACCATGGAGCGATCTCGGAAGCTACCCGTCGGGAGGGCGCCAGATAGTTGGGAATCCACCGATCCCGTGGTTGCTGGAGTGGCGGAAGATTGTCGAAGTCCACGGAAGAGAAAACTCTGTTAGCCACTTGGCGTGCCGGAAGGGTGATGCTGTTTTCGCTATCGGACGAATGGCGATCCGAAAGCGCAGTAGACTCCGGAGGCGGACTAACAGAGCCAGTCTCGCTGTGTGTCTCCCCTGTCGGCGATACCTCCACGTCTTCTACGCCGCCATCATCTTGAATTTCGACTACGGGGACAGCCGCGACCGGAGTGGATGGGTACGAAAGATAACGAGGCTCCGGAACGTCTGGAGAAGGCGAACGCAACAGTGCTTGAGCCAACGCAGTAGCTGCGGGAGAAGCGGGAACAACCCGAGCGGCCGGAGAGGGGTTCGGGGTCGAAGATCGGGCATCCGATCTAGGTTGACGACGAGAGGCCGATCTCGATTGGGATAATGCAGCACGAGTCAAATCATCCGAGCTAGAATCCGACTCGGTCAGCTCCTCACTTCCCGATCCAGTCCCAGAAGCCGCGGACGAAAGCGGAGAACAAGAAGAATTGGGTGGAGGCTCGGGTGGGGCCAATCCGGGAAGTTTGTTTAAAGGTATTGAAGGGTTCAACGACAATAGCCGGGAAGCCACACGGGCGGTGGAAGAATCACTGGATTGTGACCTTGGTTGAATACGCCGACGCTTGGCAGGCGGGCCGGACGATCTCGATCTGGACCTACGGGCAAGCGATCTCGATCCCGGGGTAGTGGGAGCAGGGGGCGATCCGACCGGAGTAGCACTCTTAGGCGTCGATCGAGCGATCAACGCAGACGACCGGGATCCGAGTATAGCACTGTTCAGTGTGTCGAGGAGAGCACGGTGTTCAGCTATAGCCTGATCCCGATCATGCTCCACCACCTGCAACTGGTCGTATATCTCGAGGTGTTCCGCAAGCTGACGACGTAGGTTGGCGTTCTCCGCCTGCGAAAGTGCCAACTGACCCTCTAGGGGAGTCAAACCATCCACTTGTTGCATGAGATCGCTGATCGAAGACAGTCCATCTGCGATCTCCTCCTGAGACTGAGCCAATTGCTCCTTCAAGTGCAAAAAATCTATGTGAAGGAAGGATTTGTCCATGGTCAGCTGATCACGCTGCTGTCGGAGAGAGTTGAGTTCGGCTTGGAGCGAATGAAGCTGAGCCCTCAAAGCATCCACCTGTCGTTCCAAGTTCCCCTGAGCCTCGTCGTTGGCACATATCAAAGTGCGTAGCCGACGAATCTCCTCCGATTGATCTCGATATGTCCGCAGAGCTCGATGGCAATCACTCAAAGAATGCACTGCGTCGACGTAGCGGCCCTGCATCCAGTCATATCGAAGCTGGACGAAGGAGACAAAAGGAGCGGCTGATCTGTATAGCGAATCAAGCTCGTCTTGTAAGCGATCCCCCCGGACGACGGCATCTCGGTAGGATTGCTGGAGCGCATGAATGGTGTCGGCTTGGCTGCAGAAGGTAGCCTCTCGATCCCACAAATACGAGATCGTGGCCATCGTGAGACGAACGTCGTCGGCAGAGACTCTGGGAACGAAGCCGGTGACGCCCACAGCTGGAGCAGACCTTTCACGAGATTCATTAGCGGCCGGGATGTCGGATCTGGACGCATCTGGGGCCGCCGGAGGAGTGGGAAGCGGGAATGGCTCGGAGGAACGATCTGATAATTCCGCGGCGGTCGAGAGTGATCCGACCGATCTGGGATTACTGAGAGACTCATGTTGATCTGGGACGATAGGAGCATACCACCCGCGATCTGGCGATCTAGATGGCGAGTCTCGGGATGGAGACGAGGGTCTGGTCGGCTGTCGATCTGGCGATCCTGTGGGGATTGTGGGCGATCCGGTTGGGCCTAGATGGCGCGGAGACCCAGGCCGATCGGGGACCGCTGGGGTGTGTCCTCCGAGATCGGGCGATCCGGGCGACATGTCGCGATCCGGAGACAGAAACATGGTGGGTCCTTCTGATGAGATCAGCGAGGTGGGTGGATGCGTCGGAGAGACCATGAGACGGACTTGAGTGCTTGGAACGAAGTTGATGAGTGACTGTACTGAGGTCAATTGCTGTACAAAAGACTTCAGTACAGGGGGCGGTTGTGGCAAAGTCACTACTCAAATTTTGTACGAGGATCGGTGGCCACACCTTTAAAGCGCCGCTTACTGGTGGAAAAGGAGGCCATGAGACTCGGCGATCCAATACGGAGGTGGAAGATGATCTTAACGGGATCGGCGAACCGATCCAACTGTCGTTAGACTAATGGGTATGAATCGACCTGGGACGGAGCGATCTGGAACGATTTACATGGAACAATCTGGGACAAGGATCTGAGACCGGGTGATGGGATATGACTCTGCGACGAAGGTGTAACATCTTGCAGAATGTTATGGGGCGATCTGGAACCAGACGTCGGGATGAAGTCATACAGCTCATTGGAATGCCGGTCAAGAAGAAGTATACGTACATTGAAGCAGGCTAAGATTAGATCGCAGATCGACATGTTGTGGCAACGGTTTGTTGGAGAATTGACACATCTGGGACAAGGTGACTCCCCAAAGTGCATCTGGGACCAGGTGGTACGGGTCGGTGAATCGGCAAAGAAGGTGCAACACCATACGGATCGGTGATACTCTACTGATCCTAAATTGGGAGTACTGATTTTGGTTAATTATACACCGATCTGGAAGTTTTTGCATACTCAGAAGAGTCAAGGAAACCGATGTCGAGACGTATGAATGAAGTTGTCGATTGGATAACACTGGAGGATGATATTGAAGCACGTATGAGGAGATGAAAAAGTGTTAATTGCCGATTTAGACCGGATCGACCTCCAACATCTCGATATTGGATGACAGATCGGTCATGTTCCACACTGATCATGAATATATGGCTGATGAAGACACTGGATCATGTGGAATATACTTAGTAGAGGTCACTAAGTGATGTCAAGAAGTTTCACGCCGAAAGAGCCAGTGGAAGCCGGTTAATTGACGTCGCAAAATGGATTTAGACGCCTTCGGCATTTGGGCACTATTTTGGGCTTTTGGGTACCATAAATGGGTATTTGGTACCCCATTTGGGATTTGGTCCTCTTTTGGCGTTCAGGTACGGTATCGGGAATATTGGCGCTATCATTGGAGTACAGGGCACGAAATTTAGACACGTGGCAAGGGGGCGATCCAGATTCAAGGCGATATCGGTTTGAAGAGTGACCTATAGTTAAGAATAGGCTTAAGGGTAGGTTGGATAGTAATTTGGTTGGTTAATAAACAGACTTGAACTCTACTTCTTCTGCTCACGACGCACGTAATCCTCCCCTCTTCTCCAGGCAAGATTGATTTGGCTTCCCCGGCGGGTTAAGGCACGCGTGTTACAGGGACACAGAAGACCGATCTTGGATTGTTGGCCAAGATCGAGAAGAGCGATCCCGGGATATCTGGCCCGGATCGATCAAGTACTCACACTCAACTCAACTGCTAGGGTAGCAGCACACAACGGAAAAGGAAAAGGATTTTGGACACAGGATCGCGAGACGGCTCAAGTGGTCAGAAGATCTGGACAAGGCGTTCAAGACAAGACCGAGCAGGATCGAAGCGATCCCCTGGACAGATCGGCACGTTTCATTTTGGCGAAACAAGACACCGATCTACCCAAATTGCGCACTTCCGGCAAGATCGGCCGATCCCAAGACCAGATCGGACCGATCCCAAGGCAAGATCGACGCAGGACTTTTATTTGCTGAGTGAAGATTTCCGCACAGCAAAGACCCCGATCTCGAGGACAAATCAAGATCGGTGCGATCCAAGATCGGGATCGCAGAACCCCCGTTCGTGGTGTGAAGATTTCCGCACCGGAAGCGAACCCTCAACCCAACCTCTCAGCGAGATCGACATCTCCCAAGGCCGTTACGAAGAGCTCAAGCCAGCCCAACCGACGGGTACACAAGGTGAGCACAAGGTCATACAACAAGGCACGGATCGGAGTACCCCCTCCGTGAGTCGGCAAGTCTGGGCAAGTGGAAGATCGACACTCATACAAGCAATTTTGTGAGATCGACTTCACCACATCACCTTGCCCAAAATGTGGATACTTGATCCTCTTGTTCTTCTGACAACTTGATCGTCTTTTTTCGTAGGCGGGTACTTAAAGCTTGCACGCGCTGCATTTGCACGAACCTTTGGGCACCTGCAAGAAAGCAGTCTCACCGTCTGATCTTGTGGCAAAGTCACTACTCAAATTTTGTACGAGGATCGGTGGCCACATCTTTAAAGCGCCGCTTACTGGTGGAAAAGGAGGCCATGAGACTCGGCGATCCAATACGGAGGTGGAAGATGATCTTAACGGGATCGGCGAACCGATCCAACTGTCGTTAGACTAATGGGTATGGATCGACCTGGGACGGAGCGATCTGGAACGATTTACATGGAACAATCTGGGACAAGGATCTGGGACCGGGTGATGGGATATGACTCTGCGACGAAGGTGTAACTGTGGTAAAGTCACTAATCAAATGATGGGACGTGGATCGGTTTCCACCCAGTTAAGATGTCACCCACTGGCGGAAGAGGTACGCCTACGACCAGGCGATGCAACGTGATTTGAGACAGGGCGTAGAAAGGGGTGATTCCAACGGTGCGATCTGGGACGAGGGACTGGATTGAACCGAACGACCACTCTAAAGGCTGATCAAAGGAAAGGATGTGGATGTTGAAGCAGAATCATTTGAGAAAAGTACGCCTGGGACCAGGCGATGCGACGTGGTTTGAGACGGGGCGTAGCAAGGGGTGATTTCCACAGTGCGATCTGGGATGAGGGACTGGATTGAACCGAACGACCACTCTGAAGGCTGATCAGAGGCAAGGATGTGGATGTTGAAGCAGAATCATTTTGATAAAGCATCGGAGTGCACACAATGAACGGAAGAACATTTATGGCCGGATTGTACTGTGTCGATCCTCAACAATCTCGAATTGGGCATCAGATCGGTCATGATCCCCACTGGTTATGGATGTATCGTTGATGAGAATTTTGGATCATGACAAACATGCTTGTTGAAGGTCCATGAGTGATGTCTCAAAAGTTCAGATCGAAAGAGCCAGTGGAAGCCGGTTAAATTGACGTCGCAAAATGGATTTAGACGCCTTCGGCATTTGGGCACTATTTTGGGCTTTTGGGTACCATAAATGGGTATTTGGTACCCCATTTGGGATTTGGTCCTCTTTTGGCGTTCAGGCACGGTATCGGGAATATTGGCGCTATCATTGGAGTACAGGGCACGAAATTTCGACACGTGGCAAGGGGGCAATCCAGATTCAAGGCGATATCGGTTTGAAGAGTGACCTATAGTTAAGAATAGGCTTAAGGATAGGTTGGATAGTAATTTGGTTGGTTAATAAACAGACTTGAACTCTACTTCTTCTGCTCACGACGCACGTAATCCTCCCCTCTTCTCCAGGCAAGATTGATTTGGCTTCCCCGGCGGGTTAAGGCACGCGTGTTACAGGGACACAGAAGAACGATCTTGGATTGTTGGCCAAGATCGAGAGAAGCGATCCCGGGATATCTGGCCCGGATCGATCAAGTACTCACACTCAACTCAACTGCTAGGGTAGCAGCACACAACGGAAAAGGAAAAGGATTTTGGACACAGGATCGCGAGACGGCTCAAGTGGTCAGAAGATCTGGACAAGGCGTTCAAGACAAGACCGAGCAGGATCGAAGCGATCCCCTGGACAGATCGGCACGTTTCATTTTGGCGAAACAAGACACCGATCTACCCAAATTGCGCACTTCCGGCAAGATCGGCCGATCCCAAGACCAGATCGGACCGATCCCAAGGCAAGATCGACGCAAGACTTTTATTTGCTGAGTGAAGATTTCCGCACAGCAAAGACCCCGATCTCGAGGACAAATCAAGATTGGTGCGATCCAAGATCGGGATCGCAGAACCCCCGTTCGTGGTGTGAAGATTTCCGCACCGGAAGCGAACCCTCAACCCAACCTCTCAGCGAGATCGACATCTCCCAAGGCCGTTACGAAGAGCTCAAGCCAGCCCAACCGACGGGTACACAAGGTGAGCACAAGGTCATACAACAAGGCACGGATCGGAGTACCCCCTCCGTGAGTCGGCAAGTCTGGGCAAGTGGAAGATCGACACTCATACAAGCAATTTTGTGAGATCGACTTCACCACATCACCTTGCCCAAAATGTGGATACTTGATCCTCTTGTTCTTCTGACAACTTGATCGTCTTTTTTCGTAGGCGGGTACTTAAAGCTTGCACGCGCTGCATTTGCACGAACCTTTGGGCACCTGCAAGAAAGCAGTCTCACCGTCTGATCTTGTGGCAAAGTCACTACTCAAATTTTGTACGAGGATCGGTGGCCACATCTTTAAAGCGCCGCTTACTGGTGGAAAAGGAGGCCATGAGACTCGGCGATCCAATACGGAGGTGGAAGATGATCTTAACGGGATCGGCGAACCGATCCAACTGTCGTTAGACTAATGGGTATGGATCGACCTGGGACGGAGCGATCTGGAACGATTTACATGGAACAATCTGGGACAAGGATCTGGGACCGGGTGATGGGATATGACTCTGCGACGAAGGTGTAACTGTGGTAAAGTCACTAATCAAATGATGGGACGTGGATCGGTTTCCACCCAGTTAAGATGTCACCCACTGGCGGAAGAGGTACGCCTAGGACCAGGCGATGCAACGTGATTTGAGACGGGGCGTAGAAAGGGGGTGATTCCAACGGTGCGATCTGGGACGAGGGACTGGATTGAACCGAACGACCACTCTAAAGGCTGATCAAAGGAAAGGATGTGGATGTTGAAGCAGAATCATTTGAGAAAAGTACGCCTGGGACCAGGCGATGCGACGTGGTTTGAGACGGGGCGTAGCAAGGGGTGATTTCCACGGTGCGATCTGGGATGAGGGACTGGATTGAAC